CAAATCCTTACCTCCTAATTTCATCTTCTCCAACGTCAAATTCTTTCATATGGTGACGCTAGCATCCTCTCTGAATTCCATATTATCAGTTATTGTTTTACTAAGAACCAAGTGGCCCTTTTAGCTTTCAGAGAGCTCCTGTTCATCATGAGTGTGAGTTGTATCCACACTTCAGCATTAAATTGAAACATACATCTAAACCCACACTCTTATTTCCTACTTCTCACCGTCTCCATTACTTATTTTAACACTGACTCCCTGGTGGATCTCAACTCCAATCAAACTCTTAAGCAAATTGTAACAGGATAAATATCTCTAAGAAAAGTATTAGATGATTGATTTTCTGGAAGATTTAGAATACAACCATTGGTACCTCTTGGGTAAATTACCAAAATTAGTTATTAAATTAAGTTTTTCCTTATCCTTGCCAGAACTGCAGAACTGTTATAACATCTACATTATTCTGCTAGGAAGTGTTCTACCATCAGTGCCAAAAAATTTTGCAGAGGTTGAGATTTCTTATTTTATCTTTGGTTTTTAATGTTTTACAAAGCTCCCCCTCTTTTTATATAAAGCATTTCACAAATATAATAAAATAAAGATTTGAATCAAGACATAGAGATATTTTATATAAATGTATAAGATTACATAAACAAAGTAAAATAGATACTGCACATGTATGTCAAATACCTATGTCAGAGTTTTGGGATATAATTTTTCTACAAGAAATATAATTTTATTTGCAATGAAGCTGAATTCAGATCTTGTCAAAAACATCCCATTTTTAAAAGACAAAAATGAAGGTTGAAAAACCTGGCTACACTGGATATAGTTGGGTTTTTTGTTTTTGTTTTGTTTTGTTTTTAATTTTTAATTAGGAAATTCCATTCTTTGCAGCACAGAAGGTATTCGCACAGTTCTAGCAGCCTTATCTTTGGCAACAAAACAAGCAAAACTGCGTCCTGCTATCAAACGGGAAAAACTTCAAAAAGGAAATTAACATTTCAAACAGAAGAAAGAAGCAGCGTTTACTCAGACTTGTTTTTGAATTATTTATATGTGATGATCTGTGCATTCCGTGGGGGGTTACAGCATTACAGAGAGAATAGGAAACACCTGTCCCAAGAGCTGTGGGCAGTGCTTCATCAACCACAACGGTGAAATGTTCCACGACTAAGAGTCAAATAACACATTTCCTATAATATCTGGTTTCAAGTCTTGCTTGGCAATATAGGTTTTACCCCTCAATGAAGTTGGAGGCATAGGAATAGCAAACTTCTCTTGTAAAGGCAATGTATTCTCTGAAGTCACTGATCAACTTCTTATTAACCTAAACTTTTTTACTTTTTTTTTTTTTTTTTTTCTGAGACAAAGTTTTTTTCTTGTTGCCCAGGCTGGAGTGCAATGGCAGGATCTCAGTTCACCGCCAACTCTGCGTCCCAGATTCAAGTGATTCCCCTGCCTCAGCCTCCTGAGTAGCTGGGATAACAGACATGCGCCACCATGCCCGGCTAATTTTGTATTTTTAGTAGATACAGAGTTTCTCCATGTTGGTCAGGCTGGTCTCCAACTTCCGACCTCAGATGATTTGCCCACCTCCGCCTCCTAAAGTGCTGGGATTACGGGTGTGAGCCAATGTGCCCGGTCCAACCTATTGTATCCAGCCTCCAGCACTGGACAGTATTACTCAGAAAAAGGGTCTATAAATACTCATTTGTTTCCCTGTATATTATATAATGTCTCCTCCACTAGGATTTATAAATGCTTTCTGGAGTCAGGAAGTTGTCTAATTATCTTGATAGTGGCAGAAACTAGAAACTAGAAAAGTGTGTGTTAAAAGATGTTTGTTGAATGAATGAGAAAACAGCTTGGTTACCTGGATGAGCTATAAATACAAATGTCTAGAGAGAAACTAAGGCTTTATCAGAGAGGATAGCAGTGTGATTCTAACATGGATAGGACTGGAGGAGGGGGCAAAAACAAAGTCAGAAAATATTGGCTGGAAAATCACTCTTAAACTTATAAGTTATAGGTTGTATCAAGTAGTTCAGAACTTAGCCTGTGAAAGGGGCACTAGCATAATGGTTGGTATATTTTGGGTTCAAGAATATAGAAGTGTGAATTTACCACATAAACAGAAATTATTTCCAACCTATAGAACAGTTATTTTCACAAACCAGAAGGGAATACATTTTGCCTAGCCCAGGGGAACACTAACCATATCATATTGTAAGTATTAAAGTCCCAACAGCCTTGAAAAGAAATAAAAGCAACTTTATTATTCCCCCTTCTATAATTTTAGAAACAAATGTTTCCATTAGGAAATATGTGCTACTGAAGCACATCATTTTCCCTAAAAATTCCAGTTAGACAGTTAAAATCACTATTGAATTGTTTGCCCAAATAAATATTACGCATTAAAAGCACAAACATTTTTACTGGAGATGTTATAATTTTATATGAAATAACTTCTCCTGGTAGGAAAATATGACTGCTTCATAGAGACATTTTAATGTAACTTTGTATTTTAGCTAAGATTACCCTCTCATGATTCAGAAAAATCACTGACTCTATTATTTTCTTTCCTTATCGTATTTTGTTTCTTTTCCTACTAAATAATGTTTAATGAAAACTTCAATATTTTCATTTACTGGCTCCCACATGGGCCAGGCAGATAACAGCAATAATCCTTAAGTTATAGTGAATCTGTTGTCCAGATTTCACTTTACTACCATCTGAGCTCTCCACAAATGTCTGGCATCTAAGTCTGGAAGCTTCTTATGAGTAGATTCTTGCTCCTAGTAATATCTGATTACCTTTTCAAGAATTTCCCTAACATTACATCTAAAAAGAGAATCTCAAAACCCTCAGAAATTTTACCCACCAGTAGACTCTTTATTAACTGTACTTTCTACCCAATTGATCTTATTTAAGATTGCTCCATTTTTGCTCCTTTCTATATAATATAGTCATTTCCCAGAAATATCACATGTTCCAAGTGAGTGTGGCCACAGCTGATGAGGCTTACTGTATCATAATAACTCTCTTTTTTAAAGGGTACAGTGTCAGTATTGACTTAAAGGAACCACAGAGTGGAGTTACTAGGAAAACAATTAAGTATTAGGATGAACTAAATGAACATATTTTAAAGTCTATAAGCTACACTGTAGTTGGAAATAAAAATGTGAAAATGTCATCACTGAGGCTAGTGATATACCGTTTTAGACTCTATTAACATGACTAGGTTTCAAAATAAGATATAATCAAAGTAATAATTGCATCTTCTACATAATTTTAAGAATAAGCCTTTAATAAAATCATATGCATTCTAATTGTTTATTTACACAATATTAATATTCAGACAGAAGGATCACTAAAGCACAGTTAATTAAATATAAATTAATGTGGTGGAATATTTAATTATCTTTTCTACACCTCACGACTAATGATTATGTAAATGCCTTGCATTTAATCTTGTTGCCAGGAAATTAACTTAATGGCCTTCAGCAAACGAACATTTTGTATGCATTACAGGACACTTTATCTAAATTTTAACAGTATGGTATTAGTTTCAGATAATAACATGATTACACAATTTAAAATGTATGAATATATACAATAGTTTTACCCCTTCCCCACTTTTTTTTTTTTAACAGAAAGGAAACTGAAATGCTTCAGATATCATTCAATAACTCAGGTTCTACAGTGTGAAAGGTTTCTTCGCTCATCTATAGAGAGAGCCAAGTCCTTTTAAATAAAAACACTTCAACAGAGAAAAGGCAAGTCCCTTTGCAGTGGACATTTAATCGATGATTTCACACAACGCCACCTCTAGAAGTTAATCACTTTGGATGTCAGTGGGCGGCAGGAACATCCGCACTCTAAGTGAATTCTCCAAGCTTTGGGGATTTTGTGAAGTGCCAGCACTTTTGGATGTGTTAAGAGAGTCTGGAGACTTGCAGGTCTCTCAAGGAGTCTAAGCCCAGGATTAATTACAAGTCTCATTAGATATCACTAAAAATATGGGAGGCAGAGATTTAATTTGCCAAGGTCAGATTCTTGTTATGAACAGTTCCAATGAGTAGTCATTCTGGAATGAATGAAGGGATCTGTCTTGCACTGGATTTAAGACCTCGACATGGGGACGCTAGGCAGATGAAGTCAGGTATTTCCCATTTCACTGACCACAGCATATGCCTTTGCACCCCCACCTACACTCTTACTCACTACTGCAGACTGATAGCACCAGCATTTCACTTCCTGGGGGTGCTTTTTGACACCATAACCCACGTTGCTGTTTAACTGGCAGGTCACTTTACGAGTTTCTGGTATTCAGCATATCTCATCCTGGTAGCCACAATGATTACAATTGGTGTATTAATGGCTTGGCTACCTTAAGAGGCACAAGTTTTACACTGACACCCAGAGTTTCCTGTCAGAAGTAAGCTCTATTTACCCATGGGAAGTGGTTTGATAAGGCTTCTTTTTTTTTTTTTTTTGAAACGGGATTTTGCTCTTGTTACCCAGGCTGGAGTGCAATGGTGCGATCTCGGCTCACCGTAACCTCCACCTCCTGGGTTCAGGCAATTCTCCTGCCTCAGCCTCCCGAGTAGCTGGAATTACAGGCACGCGCCACCATGCCCAGCTAATGTTTTGTATTTTTAGTAGAGACGGGATTTCACCATGTGGACAAGGATGGTCTTGATCTCTTGACCTCGTGATCCACCCGCCTCGGCCTCCCAAAGTGCTGGGATTACAGGCTTGAGCCACCGCACCCGGCCAGCATCTTTTTTTCTTAATTTTTATTTTACGTCCAAGGTTACATGTACAGGTCTGTTATACAGGTAAACTGTGCCACAGGAGTTTGGTGTGCAGACTATTTCATCACTCAGGTAATAAGCATAGCACCCAATAGGCAGTTGTTTTATCCGCACCCTCCATCATCAAGTAGGCCTTGGTAGTCTGTTGTTCCTCTCTCTCTTTTTATTTTTTTATTTTTTTCAGTCTCCGTAGAGGCTGTCAGTCAAAAATTCCCAATGCCGACTATATTTCAAGTTGTCATAGTGGGGTATAGGGAAAAGTTTTCAATTAGCTGTATCACACCTCAGTTAAACCTCATCAGCTATGATACGGCCACTGCACAAAGCTGTGAGAATATGTAATATTTGCCTTTCTGTTTCTGCATTCGTTTATTTCGAATAATGGCCTCCAGCTTCAACTATGTTGGTGCAAAGGACACGATCTCATTCTTTTTTACGGCTGCATAGTGTTCGATGGTGTATATGTATCTCATTTTCTTTATTCAGCCTACTGCTGATGGGCATTTAGACTGATTTCGTATCTTTGCTATTTTGAATAGCACTGTGATTAATATATGTGTGCATGTGTCTTTATGGTAGAGTAATTGATATCCCTTTGGGTATATACCCAATAATTATATTGCTGGATCTAATGGTAATTCTGTTTTAAGTTCTTTGAGAAATCATCACAGAGCTTTCCACAATGGCTGAACTAATTTGCATTCCCACTGGCAGTGTATAAGCATTCCCTTTTCTCTGCAACCCTGTCAACCATCTGCTATTTTCTGATTTTTAATCATAGTCCTTTGACTGGTATGAGATGGTATCTCATTGTGGATAAGGCATCTCTTACTACCTCCCCTTCTCTACCTCACTTTCCAACTCCCATACCAGTGTTTATCTCACCTTTTAAATAAAGTCCTTACATTTGGATCTTTATTCAGCTTCTGCTGCTGTGGACATTGAGTCTGCCTGCTAGCAGGGAAATAAATGTAGTTAGACCTAAGATGAGATCAGGACATTAGAAAATTGCATTAGAATTAGCACAAGATCCAAGAACGTCTAGATTTACTAGAACACAGCCATTCTTCTCTTGTTGAGTCCTTGAATAAGATTTTTATAAAAATAACTATTAAGATAGCTAATATTTGATACATAATTTCTACATAATGTGTAGACACTTTTAAGTACATTACAAATAGTATCTCATTCCATTCTCAGAAAAAAATGCATAATGTAGAAACTATTATAATTGCTCCAAATATGGTGACTTATAAAACCATGTATTTTATTAAACTTTATCATTGTGGGATCTGGAATTCAGGCAAGTCTAGGTTCAGTAATTCTGTTCCTCATGACATTGATGGAGGTCACTTTTATTTAGCTGAAGGATGAGCTAGTCTAGAAAGTCCAAAGGAGTTTCACTCACTCATCTGATACAGTGGTAAGAATGGTCAGAAGGCTGGGCTTACTGGGGGTTGCCAACCACAGCACATACACCTGGTGTCTCCAGTGTGGTGGTCTCATATTGAGGGACTGTGTTAAGGAAAACCAAGTCCACAAGGGGCGTAGTTTCAAAGTCAGGAATTTCCCGGCGCCATGCCTCCATCTATGTCCCCATCCCGGGAAGGTAAAGCTCTTTGTCTGACTTTCCCACCATAGGGGAGGTGGAAATAACAAGTATGCTTCTTTGTTCAAAAATCCATGGAAAAGCTCTGGGAGGAAAGGCCTCTGTTGGGACCTAGCAGCCAAGCTGGTATCAGAGTCAAATATCAATCACTCCAGAGGAAGTTCGAAAGAACTCCTCTCGTTGGACGAGAACATGAATGGGGTGGGAACAACTCTAAGGTTAAAAACCCACTGCTCCTTACCTATATGGATTCCTCCTTTGGATCTGTCACAGGGAAGAGTAGAAGTTCTCTCTCCTCCTCTCCCTCTCTCTCTGCCTAATAAATCACTCTTTACAAAACTTTGAGTTCACGGTACTTATTCAAATGGTAAGCTCACCACGCCTCCGTGGCCCTTTTCCCCATTCCTGGGGCAAGAGGACCTGAGCACATCAGGGAAAACATCAGGCCAGAGAACTGGAAGCATCTTCGGGATACCCCCACAGCTCTGCTCCCATCCCGAGATCTCATCCCGTGCTCATCTTTGTAAATGCCCATTTACAATATGGTTTAACTTCTTACATGGTAGCTCAAGAATTCCAGAGAGAGGTCCCAAAAAAAAGAAGGGTAAGCTGCCTGTCCTTGAGGCATGGACCTAGAAACTGACACTACTTCAAGGAACATGGGAGTACGAATAAATGTTCTCACCATAAAATGTGTTACCAAGCAATCAATAGGCTTGCTTCCCAATACACATAGAAGCCAATACCATGCCACCAGCTCTTGAGAAAAGAAAAGCCTTATTGTGAGTCAACCAGCAATGAGAAAGAAGAAAACAGTCAAATCTGTCTCCTTGAGCTGGGGTTTGGGTCAGGTTTTATAAGAATAGGGAAATAAATGTGATCTGATTGGCTCTTGCAGTGAGGTGATGCTGGAAAGCATGATCTGACTGGATTCTGCCATAGGATGATGCCAGAGATCAATCTGATTGAATCCTGGATAATGCCATGTAGTGTCTACATCTTAATTCTGTCCCCATTCCTGGGTCCAAGTGCTTAGATTTCCCCCATGATTGCATGCTTAGTTCATCCAGGCATGTTCAGATTATGTGACCTTTAACCTAGAGGTCCATGGCAACTGAAAAACAGCTCACAACTTTGTTATGTAAAAGTTGAACCAGATTGGTCTGATGTAATTACAAACTGATAACTATGGAGGTAATACATATGTTAATTAGCTTCATTTAATCATTCCACATTATGTATATATATCATATTACATTGAACCCCACAGATATGTTCAATTATTATTTGTCAACTTAAAAAAAAACTGGCACTATGTCACTTCTGCTGTGTTCTCTTGGCCAAAAGAGTTGTTCCAAGTTGGAGGGGAGGGAGAGAGAATTTGCAACCACCTTTGATTTTCCACAAGAGATTAAGTATAAGTAGGTTGCCTGAGTAATTGGTAGAGACAAGATTTCAACTCAGAAAGGCTAACTCCAGTGCCTAACTCTTAACCAATATAATTTGCTTCCTCCTATTTAATAAATAATAAAAATGTAAAAGCAAACTAATATTTTTATTCATTTATATCCATAAACCAACTCAGAGAATTCTTATAACTTGAACCATAAGTAGCACTGTTTTTCCTGAACTAAGTTAGAATAATAATTAACATATAAAAGAGTGCCTGACACATTATAAATGAAAAATTTCTGTATCACTTTTTTAACTATTCACTCCAAAAATAAAGTAGAATAAATGGGAAATGCAAAAATAAAACTCGAATTCTCAGATAACTTACCTTTCTTACCCTCGTAGCAAGACCTTTGTTTCAGGTACAATAAATAGCTGCCCTTCACCAGGCAATTGTAAATTTCAGATTTTGTATGCCCTGATGAATATGCAATTGCCTTTTGTCATGTATTTTATACAAGGGCTAATCAATATAATATCTATATTTAAGTATCTTCAATAGGTAGTTATTAAGGATGTGTCTAATTTTAATGAACTTTGTATGCCCCATTTGTTATTATTTATTCATATATATATATATATAAAACATTTTATTACCAGCTGAGATATTCTATAAAAGAACCCATTTTTTTCTTAGAGACTGTCTGCTTTATCATCAGATGTCTTCAGTAGGCTATAAAATAACTTCTCATCTCTACTTGTTTCAATATGGCAGAGATGAGAAGTCTCATCTTTGTTAAAAAAGATAACTGCTAGATACTGAGTTCAACAAATCTTTTTGTGATTACTCATTACTCAGAAAGTTTCAGGAGTGTGGACTTCCAGAGTGACAGGTTTACAATTTTAAACATAAAGTATTTAATATGGTACCTTAAATATATTCTTTGGTCATTGCTTTTTAATGAGCTTTCATACATATTCTACTATGAAAGCTCATTAAAAAGCAACAATTATTTTGGAAAAAATGCTGGGATATTATGTAGCATTAAGATTATATATATACTGTAATTACATCTATATATACACACACTGTAATTTATAGATGAAATATTATCAGTCATTTCCCTATAGTCTTCATGAGTTTTAATCGGTAAAATGTCTATATAAAGATTAATTCAAAGCACAAAAAGAAACAATTTTCTTTAATTTATATTTCATGAATTCATTTTCAAAATATTCTAAAATCTTCAGTAATCTAGCCTATCTTGATGCATGCAACCTGAATTTATGTCTTGTAACGATAATTGTTCTAAACACATAACTACTCTCGTTATCAATGAACAAGAAAGTTGCAAGTCCCCGGTTATGATAATTTCTCTATCATGCAAGTATCATTTCATACTTGAATTTGTGCTGAATATGAAACCCTTAACTCTATATAAACATCTTCCATTTAACTTTCATCTTAATGAAACTAAACTTACGCACAAGAAAGTCCCACAGGTTTGCTTTCTAAGCAAAACTGAAAATACAGAGAAGATAGGCTTTCCCTCTGCCCTTACTTTGGGAAGCAGGAACCAAGGACAAGCCAGGCAAGTTTATTAGATATTATCATTTCTAAGAATTCCAACTTCTAATTAGAAAGAGTTGCGTTTTTTGATGACAATCTCTCACTGGATTTGAGGTTTCTTCCCTTTTCTCTGTTGACAGTTTAAAGAGAAATTATTACTGTATTTCCAAAAGAGGAATTTGATGACTAGGAGTAAGCATTGTCCAATTTTCAAAACTGCCTGAGTTAAATTCAGGAGAAAAGAGAAGGAGAAAGAAAAGAAAAATAATAGCAGCATACACAAATATATTCACATATATACATGCTCATATCTATGGTATAGCTGCATGTTGGGATATTATATAGCATTAAAACGATATGCACAATAAATATGATTTTAACAACACAGATAATGCTGATGTCCTCTGGCAACAATAACATAGGAAAAAAGAATATAATATATTCTTCACTTTATAAAAATAATTATGTATATGTTTATATAATTGTATTAAGAAGCATATTTTATATGTGATAAAGTTACTGTATTTTTTCCATAATTTCCTACATTAGGAAAATTCTCCCAATTTTTCTAATTATAGTGGAAATTATAGTTTATACTTTTAAAAATAAATTTCCCTTGGTTAATGGAAATATGCAGACTCTTTGAATAGTGATTGCTTGATATCTTCATTTGTTCCTTAATATACTCTCCTTATCCTTTTCCATCCTGTGAATTGAATTGAGGATTTCTCTAGCTCTCTGGATTCCAGTTGGGTTC